CCTTTTTTCGTGTACATGGGCTTTGTCGTTTGTTTATTTTATTTTTCTTTTGTGTTATTTGATCGTTGTAGCTGGATGGCTGGAAAACAAAGGGCGCAATCTGTATGTGTATGAATTCTTTGTATGTGTTATGAATGAATATGGATATAGATATAGAGACCGTTCTTTATCTTGCGCCATTTTCGTTTTTAGTCAACGACATCACACAAAGAAATATATACTGTCCTATAGCCCATTCATCCATCCATCCATTCACCGTTCCACGCCGTACAGATCTATCAAATACACTTCCCCCCATCAACCACAAAATCCCCACCATTGATAAACCTGGCTTCATCCGAGCCAAGATATAAAACATATTTGCAATATCGTCTGCCTCCGCCAACCTCCCCAGCGGCACATTATCAATAAACTTCTGCCGATTCTCCGGCGTATCAGGTATGCCAGTGAACATCTCAAATAGGCCCGTTCCCGACAGTAGCGGACACACGTTATTCACTCGAACCTGATATTTGCCGTATTCAGATGCTAGGCCCTTGGTAGCGTTTGACACCGCACCCTTGGACGCATTGTACCATACTAGACCCGGACGTGGTCGCTGGGCGCCTGTCGAGGAGATGTTTATCATTGAACCACCATGGCCTTGTTTGATGAGAAGGGGGATGAAGGATTGAGAAGCGAGGAAGATGCTTTTCACGTTCACGTTAAAGACACGCTCGAATTCGGACAGGGTTACCTCGTCGGATGGCTGGATGATGTTAGTAGATAAATATATGCACGTCCATATATACTAGGAACTAGGGAGATCACAGCAAGGTATTGGAGTATTGACCAGCACTATAGATGGGACATATATACCTTGTTCTTATAAGTAGTTCCAGCATTATTCACCAGGATATCTACCTTCCCGTACTTTGAAGTCGCAAGGTCAAGGATAGCCTTCCAGTCCTCAGGGCTGGTGACATCCATCTTCTGAAACGAGATGCTCGATGGGTTGTTTGAGGCTACTTTCTCGCCGCCATCGACGTTGATGTCGCCTATTATGACCTTTGCGCCTTCTTGGGCATATCGGATGGCGATTGCAGCGCCGAAGCCTGAGCCCCCACCTACAGTGATATTTATTATCAGCAATCACTCGACATTGTAGATTATAGTGAAATACTTACCAGTAACGATGGCTTTTATCAGCTAATCGGACCCTCCATCCGCTTAGGTCTTGAATATCGCCAGCTGCGGGGAACAGAAGGTCGCCTCCGTGTGTAGACTGAGGGCTTCGTGACGAAGAAATCAAAGCCAGCATAATATGCTTGTAGGGCTAGATAATATCTCATTCCGGATATTATATTTCTTGGGTAACATCGGTGTACTCTGCACGTCAGACAAAGAAGGACGACGAATCATGTCTACCAGCCATATCCAATAGGATGGGCGACTCATCTCTCAGACCCTCCCTGCGCGAGCACAGTGAGGTCATGAATAGAACCGCATGCTTCCATAAACCCCCACGATCAGCAGGGTTTAAGCAGTGTGTTAAGCAGCTGGTGAATCAGGGGGCACTCGTCAGATGCGATCCGTTAGGTCGGTAAATTTCGCCTCAGTGATAAGAGTAACGCAGACCACTGTAGATCTAGCCAGCCGTCGTAGTGTCATGATCAAGAAACGAGGGCAATAAACCGTCGGAACGCCTCGTCGTCAGCTCCGCCAGAGGCGCGCATCGAGGGGCCATCATTATCGCAGGATTCCCTCCATTTGCGAACCTTTCCAAGACCGCGATTGAATCCTTTCTCCGCCGTCCAAGGTCCTCTGCTCCTCCCGCCCCCTCTTGCCGAATGCGAGCCCCTACCACGTCCGCGCCCGCGTCCCACGTCCACGTCCATGGCTGTCATAGCTCATCTCCACCCACTCTTCCTCCAGTGTCAAGCTGTAAATCTCCCGTAGCCTAGAACGGAACTTGGGAATCTACTCCACAGCTCGTGTAATCTTGGTGACTTGTCGAGGCCGGAGAAATCCTCCTTCGTATTTCGTTGTCCGGAAGCGGGAGCAGGTACAGATACAGCAGGGGCCTGCGCATTGCTGACCGAGGCCGCGTCGACCTCTGCAGCCGGAGGCTGACGGTCGTGTTCCGGTGATAAATTTTCACTGCCATTTAGCAACGCATCAGTCTTGGTTGCTGGCTCAGCTATAGTCGGTGAGCACGATGTTTTATGAGATTTCGAACATGCCAGCGAGCAGCTATGGTAAAGCAGGTTAGAATAGATCTTTTCTCCTCGAAACATGAAAGCTCATCTCTGTATATTGTGAGAGTACCTACCTCTGCACGCCACAAGCTGGACACCGATATTTCGCTTGCTCCTCGGAGCAGACCTGGCATAATACAGCCATCAGCTCTATAGTATGCAGCGAGAACGTCACCAAAGCCTTAAAGACCTCTGCTGGCGAGTAAATTAAACACAAGAGAAGTAACAAACCGGCGAGAGAAAGCTCAAGAGAAATGGCGAATGAAAATGGTTATTTATGACGCTGTTTTTAAAAGTGATGCCAAGATAGCATAACTTGCTAGTGCTGCTTTTATGTTCAAACTCCTATCTTCGCGAGTATCAGAAAAAGATCTCCAGCATCAACAGCTTCAAGTCAATCTCGCAACAAATATGGCGAACCTACAAGTACAGACTCGCTCGATATACCGGGCCATACTCCGCGAGCTACCCCCCCGACCACGCTTCTCGTCCTCCCCCCTCCAGACCAAGATCCGGCAACACCTCTCGACAGCACCTGCGGATAAAAATGCTGCACGCGCCCAACTCGAAGAAGCAGAGCAGTTCACGCAATATATCAAAGCACAGAGGCAGTATGCTACTCTGCTAGAACGATATAACCCCGGAGCCGACATGGATCAGGAAGAACGGGTCCGATTGAGCGCCAGGAGAGTTGGAATGAATCTACCTATCGAGCATAAGGACGAATCCTCATAGATGACGAGGCGTGGAGTCTGCGGGAGGGCTAGCCGGAAAACACACAAGTCAAGAGGCCAATTGGTTGTGAAATAATGATTTGCTTGGATCTTGGAAAGCTTTGTGGTCGGTCGTGGTATCCAAATTCTCTATATCAGCGTCCACTAATCTTATATCGCGTAGCTGAATGTTGAACATAGGGGATAAACATCATGAAGCGCCGTTTAACTTGCTTTTCTACATTGTATTTTAGATATATACGATTAATATACCCAATATACCCATACCATACTTCAACTTTGGCAACTCGGCTCAACGAGTTTACGCATGCCAGCTACGATTAAGCTTTGTTTGCCAGAGCAGTAGTTAAGCAGGAATAAAGACTGATCCGTGGGTTTGTTCTGCGTTGAGTTGGCTTTGACCTTAGTGTCGATATATACGTCGTGTGTACATCACAACAGCAAATTCGACTATCCATGAACCCCAATTTTAGCAGCCAAAAGCTTAACTATGCTGAGAGAAGAGATCGTTGGAAGAGAGAGCCCGCGAGATATACGGCTAATGTACATCTGATAGTGACGCCTTATTCATGGTTTGGATATCGTGACCAGGCTGCTACTAGCTATGAAGCAAAATAGTCCTTAACATAGAAAGCGAGGCAGTGTCCTCCGCTTCACCGGCATGTTCTATACCCTCTTCTGTGTAGGTGTTTGCACCCAATATTCAAACAATCTTACCATGGTCTTTTAACGCTGTTTGGTGTAAGGGACTCATCTGGCTCTGGCTTTATCTTCCCATCTTCAGGACCCATTTTAATGGCAACTTCCCAAGCACATTGATTTGGCTGGCTGCTATACGATCTGCCGAAGGGAAACGTGGCAAAAACTAGTAGCTAGCCTAGTCTCTCCACAGCATGCAAGCAAGGGTCCAGACGCCAGCTGGAAGGACAGTGGTTCCTGGGGAAAACGGGGCTTCACGTGGAAGAAGCAGTGGCGGTACTCCGTATATGTGAGTAACAACTCCCTGTGGTGGATGGGCGGAAGGACTCCGCGAAGCCGGATAGAACAATATGCACGTCACGGAAAGGAACATCCTCGCTGTCTATGCCGATCCATATGGGTCCCCGGTGGAAAAGGATCTGCCATCCAGACAGAGGATGGGCCCTAGGTCGGGTTCACCTTAAGCGAGAGATCATCAATGTCGCTAGGTAGACGAAGTAGGGTATTGCCAAGGTAGAGCTCTGATCTATTTGTTACTAACGTACAAGCAGTGCAACATGAGGAGACAACACATACCACCATGGATGATTACCCCTAAAGTTCAAGTGTGCAAGAGTGCAATAGCCTGAAAAAGCTGTGTAATACCCCGTAATAGCTCTGGAAATGCGAGGTCGGATGGAACTGAGTATTTCACTCTCATTGGAGTTGTACATAGTCGCGATTTTGACGGCAAATATCTACTAGATATCTTCTCCATAAGTGAAATGGTTGCCCAAATCTGAGTTTATGGGTGATGTAGACTCCAGCTCCTGTACTCCGTACCATGTCTCCCATTGAGAGGGTGTGGTAATCATCGGGACGTTCAATGATTGATAGCTTCAAGAGGTTGATAGGAGAATAAGCATGTATTCCATATTCTCCTCGGTCAGAGGAAAGGATAGCTCATAGTCTTAGCTTAGAACCATGTGCATGCAATGATTAATCCTTGAATTATGCTTGTGTATTGATGAAGCCACAATCTCCATACATACTCCCTCCACACATTTCCTCGACGTGAAGGTGAAGTCGGTGACCCCTTTCCTTTCCGCTTACACCGCGTGCTTACCTAAGTGCAAGTGTTTATTCTGTTTGCACTGCAGTTTCACGTGATACAATTTCGTCGCTTAGTCAGACTATTACACGAACCACTAACATCAGTATGAGAAACAGAAGGCTCTCGTTCAAAACTTTTTTGAATGTAAAACTAAGTTCCTATTATCTCTATTTGGGTAGGTTCTATAAATTATACAAAACGCTCGCGATCAAAGGTCAGATATCATATCTTGACACGTTAAGGCTTCCAGTTGGTCCTTTTAGCGACAAACTTCGCTACATAAACCAGGCCAAGCAGCACAGGAACTTCGATCAACGGACCAACTGTTGACGCGAGAGCTTGGCTACTGTCTGCTCCATAAGTCGCAATTGCAACCGCAATAGCAAGTTCAAAGTTATTACTCGCCGCGGTAAAACTTTGCGTGGTTGATAATCTGTATCCGAAGCCCAGCCGATAAGTGATGTATAGTGTGGAAAAGAACACTATGATGAAATATACCAGCAGAGGCGCGGCAACACGGACGACGGACACGATTTGATGGACAACCTGCTTCCCCTGCGAAGCAAAGAGGGCCAGGATGATGAATAAGAGCCCGATCAAGGACCATGGACTCAGCCATTTGACGAACACGTTGTCGTACCAGGCAGGACCAGTAATCTTCCGCAGCGTAAACCGGGTGACTATTGCAGCACCAAGAGGTATTCCGAGGAATACAGCAACACTCTTTGCAACGACGGGATAAGACAGGGGAATCGTGCTTTCCGAATGGCTGATTATTTTGATAAATAATAGCGCCAGGGGGGCAAAAAGCACCATCTGCAATAAGGAGTTGACGGCGACCAGGATTGCACAATATTCATTGTCCCCTCCAGCAAGGCCTGTCCAGATAAGGACCTAAAGAGAAACCATTAGTCAACGATTATTGCTACACGAAAACAAGGAGAATACAGTCATAGACATACCATCGCAATACACCTAGCTAGGCCGACCAGGATTAGTCCCTCTCTGAGTTCGGGCTCATCCGGTAAAAATGCCCATGCGAGTGCCAACTTCAAATGATCTTCGTTAGCAAATGATTTGACAGATTAAATCAATTCAGGATGTTCTTACCATAAGAAGAGGAGCAATAATCCAGTTGATAAATATACTGAAGCCCATCTGGATCCATATCTCACGGGTTTGAACACCTGGTGCAAAGTCTCATAGCGGACTTTGCAAAGGATTGGATACATCATGACAAGCAGTCCAATTGCTAAGGTCGGATACCCATTAGCACTGACCGTGTCTTAAGCAGAGAAGTGCTTTTGAGAGATAATAAACCGAGCCCAGGTAGGGTATGTTTATACGATGAACTTACCTATGGCAGTGAGACGCCCACGAGAGCCCCCTTTTGCAAGGCTGGCCCTACATTATCAACAAAGTTCCCCAGAATAATCCCAATTGCCATCGCTAGAAAGATCCATAGCGCCAGAAATCGGTCAAGGACACCGAGGCCCTTGAATATAGAGGTGGGTCCCTCTCGCTCAGCTGCTGGAGTGTCATGCGGTAGCTTCTCAACATCTTGCATTTGGTCCGGAGTACCCCTCTGGTTTTCCGCCTCCGCCTCCATCTTAGAGGGAATTCGGCCGTATCTGGTCCTGTCGCTGAAGGTGCCATCACCATGAAGAAAGTGATTCGTATTAGGATACTTTCTCTATCAGTATCAAGCTCTGGTTATTGAATGTCCTCTCCGATGACAGAATCGAAACCGTTCGGCTTTGCGTCATGCTTTTATCTTCCCCAAGATTTTTTTCATCCACCGATGCCAAGCATATGGAGATGTCACCAGGATCCTCTGATTGGTCGAACTTTCAAGATTTAGACTATCCACGTGATATAACCTTCCGTTATTTTTAGAGCTTGGACGAAAAGTTACTCTCAACCTTGCAACGACGGCGGAAGCGAGGGCGATTTACTTGAACAGGGAAACACCACATAATGGCTGGATAAAATAGTTTTAATAATCTATCCAATGACGAATATGGCTATTATATCCTTGCACAACCGCCCGAAGTTCAACGCATTATTATCGAATACACAAATCCCAAGAAATCCAAGCCAAAGCAAACTAACCATCAGGGATCGGATTAGCGTCTTTTTAATACCCGTATCTCTAGGAGGTCATCCCTACCAGAATTTCGAAGCATCAAGGGTCCCCACGTTGAAGAATATTCAAAGAATTCACCACCACATATTGCAAAGAAGGTATAAGTCGAAAAGAAGGCCCGAAATCCATAGCTTCTCCGATGAAGCCATTGAGTATATCGCATACAATATCACTATATCTTTAGTTTTGTTTTCTGTCAGCCAGAACTCATCTTTATTTGCGAGCTTGTGTGTGCTGAAATGCGGGGGATAAACTCACTGTTGCTATACCCGATTGTGGAAAAGGACATCCTCAAGTCAACCCCATTCACAATAAACTTGCAGAGGCTTAGAAAATTACTCACAGTCTAGGTTTTTGAAACGCCAGATGTCAGCCACGTTGATACTCGTTCCCCTGTGGGGGCGTTGGGTGGGGATACTTACAGCTGGATCAAGACCTTAAGTCCCTGAGTGCCGAGTGCATCCTTTGGTAGAAGCTGACCCGCCTTCAATAGTAGGTCGTGTTAGTCGAAGTTATGCATGAAAGAGCATCTTAATGCTCTACTCTTTCAATGGGAGCGCACTTACAACGCCAGCCACGGTACCCTAATATGTAGGGATCCCATATCAACAAAGTCCTCAATCATCTAGAGGATCTTGCCGCCATCTTTTCCGAGCAGCGGTGATGAGAGACTTACGGGTAGCTTTGCAACGGTCTAGATGGTTAAAAACATAGGGTTAGTAAGTAAACTTGACTCTCGTCTGTAGCCACCTCAATATACTGGGGCCGTTTGTCCATTGGTAAAAGCACTTACTCCAAGAGACCCCAACCCTAGATTCAAATTGTTAGCCAGGATAAATTCACGATAGTATGTAAATGGAGAAAACGTACAGGGAGGTCTCGCTTCTCCTCGGTGATAGGAGCAGCCATAGCCAAGGCACTGGCGAAGAAAATAAGGACGGCTTGGAATTTCATTTTGAAATGGGTTCTAGGTCTGTTAGTCAATGCACTTTGATTTAGATTTAGGATAGCGATTTTCAATCTCACTTTAAGATAAAATGAAGGGTTGGAGTTTTAAAGAATGAATGGACTTGATGGTAGTGAAGAAAAGACTGTAAAGATGAATGAGTGTGTAGTTTCGAGGGCTAGAGAGCAGAGCCAAACGGCTATTTAAGCTAAATCGTTTGATTGAGCTGGTGATATTACCCCTGGATCCGTGTCGTGCAAAGATGTGCTCGACTAGATATGCCGTACAACTATGAACCGTGCTCTCTTCAAGTAATCTGACCGATTACATGACTATTTTGGAGCCCTCACGCGCAGTGTCCATTAATTTGGGGTTCCAAACACTACTCTAAACGGATCTGCTGTTTTCTGTGAGACGTCTCACTAGGCCATTTGAAATGTGTAACGGCGGCATGGCTTTAAAAAACAGGGTTATGCGGGTATCTGCATCGGTTTCCTCCTATTTACGGCATCGTTAAAGTCCATTCGTTGAACGGTAAAGGGGCGAACACGCTGTACACGGGACCAACGGGTAAAGCGTGCCTGAGAACATGATCCGGGAGTTATATCGCGCTATAACCGTCAATAACGATTTGAGTCTATGCACATGGACTCCATTCATTGGGTAAATCTCATATTCGGTGTAATTAGGTGACGTAGCTCATCGCCCACCTCTGCTGTTCTCCTAGTGAAAGAGTAAATACCCATTGCCTAGCTAGCGTCGATATTGCCTGGGGTGTCCATACACTAGACGGGATGGAATACCTCATAAAGCAATTTGTTGTCTGGGGTTGTACAACACAACCAACGCAGCTGTTATGCACATGCTTAGCGGTTTCCTTGATTTTTGCAGGCACAACGCGTTTTTCCCTGTCGAGACCTCATGGAAATACCATATCTGACGCTTAATGAGTTGTCCCTGGGCTAAAAAGGCCAGTGGCCCCTCTGTTTCCTCATCACCACCATGACATCCACCGGGATGGACACGTACGATATGCCGTCCAAGGCCCAGGTGCATTAGGGCATACATTAGATGAAGGACCAGGCAGTGCGCATTCATCAGTTGGGGCTCGTTTCTCATGGCTCGAGAAATATGATGTGTCACCCGGAATCTTCCATACTTGATCAGGATTTCCACATTTAATGAGGTCAGAAAACATTCAACGAGGTCAAATCTTGACTTGCTACATCTTGTGTTATGGCCGTAGGTGTATGAAAATGAGCGACAGGGATGTGGAGGGAATGTTTCATAGTGGTGCCGATATGCATCCTGAACTCCGTAGCTGGAAAGCGCTGTGAGGTACGGATGCTGCTTTGGTTCCACGAAGCATCCGCTATTCCGTACAACAATGGCAGAGATAGGAAACTAGAATAGATGAAGTACTCTTGTTCATATCGTGTGAAATGATATATATTTACTCTGTATCCGCCGCACAGCCAGATCGTGTTACGTAATACAAAGTCCCATTCGTCGACAAGGCCTTCTTATTTGGGTAAAGCGCGCCATGGCCTGAACTACATCTTTAAAACATCCAAGGATCAAAGAAGAAACATTGTACAGATCCAACGTCACCGTCGAGGGGTAACCTCGTTGATATGCCTGTCAACCAAGTGGATCTATTAGACCGTGCTCATTTGCATGCTTGATTAGGAAGTGACTATATGGTCTTGTCCGTCATTATATTATTAAAAAAAATTCGTTTATAGAAGCAGCCTCATGCCAAACGCCTGATACCCATAACCCCATTATTTCGCCTTTGTCTTGAAACCCAACTCAGACGCCGTTTATGCAGAATGAAAACTGACTTCGGATCCATCTCGATCCCTGGAAATCCTGCGAACGTGGACGGTATAGGTGGCAGGGCCCTATTTCGCGGCTCTCTCTATGCCCTCTCTGTCCTCTCCCCCGGCCTCTTCCACATCCCCCTCTCTTCCCTCTCCTCTCTCCCTATCTCGCTCTTGTAGGTACCAAGGTCGGTGAAGTCGAAGTCACCATTCATAGTTATTGTAGTGGCCTGACTGATTTCTTTCGGCTTCTGAGGCTTGGCTTACCGCGGTTTGAGCGGCGGAAGCCATAACGTCGTGCCATTGAGGTTGAGAATGCATAAGAGCGCCGCTCGCGCTGGTTGCCGAAGATTGTTGGGA